CACGATACAGATAGTCACATGCAAGCAACCAACATCCTAGAGCTTGAATGAACGGGCCGAGAGTAGTCGCTACGTCGCTGAAGTCTTTTAACAGCTAAGCCTAGCCCTCAGCCTAAGCCTAAGCCTAAGCCTAAGCCTAAGCCTGAGCTTTTAACAGCTAAGCCTAATCCTAAGCCTAAGCCTAAGCCACTTTTCCACTTTGCCACAGCCTAACTAGAACTTTAAGAGTCAAAATCAGAGCTATCCTTTCACTTATCCAAATCCAATCCATTCATTTAAGGTGTTCTTAACTCGGCTCAGTATCAATTCGACCTTGTTTGGGTCATTTCCAAATCTAAATCCCTTTCTTTCCAAATCCATGCAAGACCAATACCAGCAGATTTGTGGTGAAAAGGAAAAGATTAAGCCGATCTTGAACTTCGCCATTTCCTTTGGAAAACCTAGATTAAACTTACCACTTCCGGGAATGATGAAAGAAAGAATTTGCTAGATTTGACAAAGAATCAGTTTTGTGTAAAAGTGATGCTTTTTGATAAGGTTTCTATAAGAAAGCTGTAATTCACTGCAAAGCGCAAAGATCGTGAAAAGATTCAGAGCTTTGTACTTGTGCAGAGCTAATTATATTGTACAAAGTTACAAGTGATTATGTAGAGTACAGTACTATGTACAGTACATTAATCTCTGGCAGTAGCAGTCTTAGCAGTAGTAGCAATGAGGTTAACAGTCTTGGCGTTAACAATCTTTGCTAACGTTCCAAAAACAAAGGTTTAATCCTTAGAAAATCAGACTACAGTACTTTTAAATAACTAAATCGATCTAAGAACTAAGCTCTGGATTTGAATTTAAGATCCAATTTGAATTCCCTTAGAATGTGGCTTATACTGTAGACTGGACGAGGGTCAAGGAACAAGGGGCGTTACAAATGACTATGTAGAGTACATTACTATGTACAGTATAAACCAGTGCTATGTACAGTACATTCATGTCAGACTAGCAGTCTTGGCAGTAGTAGCAGTGAGGCTAACAGTCTTGGCGTTAACAGTCTTGGCGTTAATAGTCTTGGCGTTAACAGTCTTGGCGTTAACAATCTTTGCTAACGTTCCAAAAACAAAGGTTTAATCCTTAGAAAATAAGACAACAGTACTTTCAAATAACTAAATAGATCTAAGAACTAAGCTCTGGGTCGATCCAATTTGAATTCCCTTAGAATTTGGCTTATACTGTAGACTGATCAAGGGTCAAGGGCCAAGGGGCGTCGCCGATCCAAAGGCTCCGCCCACGCCGCCCCCTCCATCCACTCAATCTCAACACCTTAACCACCTCTTTTCTACTAAAATCTCTTTTCTACTATCTATCAATTCTCTTACTACATTTTTTTGAACATTTCCGGTCACCATCTTCGCTCAAACAATGGTAACTTTTACGCTCCATTTCATTTCATTTCATTATTTCAAATACGGCTTCTTGAATACGGTTTCATTCCAATTTATTTGCAAACTTTGCTCTTTTTTTTGACTTTATTTTGTCGATGGTACATTTTTTTAAAGTTTTTCTTTTAATATTTTTCTTTTCTTTATTGAATCTCATCCCCGACTTCACTAATCTCTTCAATACCATCGGCCATAGAAAAGTGTGATCTATTGAAAACCGGGAATTCTATAGAGGGAAAATTGATATGAGTTTCTTCGATAGAAAGGAAATCCAAGAGATTTCATATGACAATTAATGAGAGTTTTCACCTAGGCTACGGTAGAAATGGTCATTAAATAAGTGGCATCGGTTTGGTTTAGACTTTGATCATTCATCTTTCTTGTACAGTGAGTAACAAGAGAATGGCTGATGTGATGGCTAAATGACGGATTATTTTTTGAATTTTAAGAGTAATGTTTGATGTTAATAGTTAAAAGTAAACATTTTTATGAAAAGTACTTTAAAATAAGTTGTATTTGAAACAAAGAATAATTCACTTTGTCAAATCCAAGATACAAATGAAAACGTAGACCGCGGTCTCGAACTAGAGAACTCGAACGCGAGTTTGCCTTGTATTCTAGCACACTGCCATTCAGCCACCACTGCTTCCACGGGGGTTTCTAGGAAATCTTATAAACTCGGGGTGTATGCGGTTTTTAAAATCCCATACAAATGCACGCTTATAACTTTTGACAGAGTGCTCTATAGCAGAAACGGAAACGAGACTCGAAATCAGCCTTGAATTCTGCGTCGAATGATCTATAACTCATTTCATTTGGTCATCCAGTTGAGATTCCTTGTAGTAAGAAAGGCTTCATATATAAAATTAAGTTATTGGAAACCTATTCTGTTATAATATTAGTATAAAAATCTAGATAACAATAATAATACTCATTTGAATTATTATTTAACTGAATACCAGACGATTATTTCACTCTGATCATTGTTTATAGCGCTTAACTTTGCAAAAGTAATATTATCCGCAATACGAGAGTTACTTTATGCTTTAAACACTTTGATTTTTCTTTATTGTGTTAAAGATTGCTTATCAAGAAGTGCTTATTGACCTCTTCTATTAACTTAACCGAGCATTATAAAATTAGATTATGAAAAATTTAATTACTAACAGTTGCCCATCTTGAAAATAGTCATGGAAACGGAAAGCAGCCATATGATCTAATAGATAGAGAATAGAGAAAGATTGAGACAATCTCGCAATATTAAGGTTTCCTTTCGAATTTCACACTTTGGAAACCCTTTCCTTACCTCGATTGCGTATTTATTTTCTCTTCAACTCTTCTCCAGAAAGAACAAACAATGATCAAGAGAAATCTACTGTAGAAGTTACAAAATCTAAGCCTTAAGTTATCCAAACAACCAATCCAAACAATGCAAATCAAATCACAGAGTTAAATTTGATCCAAATCTAAGTCAGTAAGTAAGTAAAAAAGGTCGAGGCTTCAATTCCCTCTACGAAAATCGTTCTTTGCCATTCTCTACTTTACTTTCTTACAATAAGATTCTGAGTCTATTAAGCAATTGTAATTGGAGTTGTTTTTGAGGAAAACTATGGTTGAAAGTTGCCGTTTATTGTGCAGATCTCAAATATATATTGTGAAGCCAATTTCAAGAGACTTTAACCTTGGCGCTTGGGAGTGAGTGAAGAAATAGAGAAGGAATTAGAATTGTTACGGCATTTTATACTTGATTCTATGCATTTAGAACTCAGAACTTTCACACCAAACTTTATTATAGATTATAAAAACTAGGAACAATAAATCATCATTTTTAAAGTAGAAAGTAGAAATAATAAAGCATTCTTGCTAAAATAGATGAAACTTTCAAGTTTTCATTCTTTTCTTTTGGATTTAACTCTTCAATCGTGCTTTGGATTTGGATTAGAAAAAGCGTTCTCAACAACAATTTACTTAAATTGATTGTAAAATGGTTCAAAGACAGAGCTGAATCCAAAACTACTCGAATTCGTTGCGATAACTTTTTCAGAGCAAACTTTAAAGTACTCAAAATTTGAAAAAAAAAACTGCATTTTCTTTGAAATTGGTTTATTGATTGATCAAGATTTAAAAACAGAATTTATTTCTTTCTTCATCGACTTTACTCGACTTTAACAATCGATTGGGAAAGATGTTTTAGTTTTAACTTTACAAAATTGAGAAGATAACTTTCAACACTTCACTAAATCATCATAAAAATCAATTTTTAATAAACTGTGTTTAACTTTATCACTTCAGCTATAATTTTGCTTTGAAAGCGCTCAAAAATATCCCCAATTCGTTTGTACTACTTGTATCAAAGTTGGTGTCCGCAGATTCTCTCGGAAATGAACATCTTGATCCTCAAAGATTTCCCCCGGAGTGAGAAAAGACGGGGGATTTTCCGGCTTTGTCCCATCACTAATCACTCCAACCGAAAGACGGCTTTGGTCAATTAGGGAAATTAAATGTATGGCCATAGTCTCAAATATTAAAAAAAAACTTCTCAGCACAGAAATTTCAATTTCTGAGACTTTTCCGAGATATTGATGAATTCAGAATTGAAAAATCAAATAAAAATCGTTTTAAGAAGCAAAACGATCAAAGATGAGGTTTAGAAAGTAAAAGCAAACAAAATTTAGGGAATTGTAAATGGAAAAACAGTTAATAAAGCTTTGGCTTGGATCTGAATCATGACCTTTTAAAAGTTTTGTGAAAGTTCATCTTCATTTCTGCATCAAAAATCAAATCTGAAACCGTTGTCAAAAAGCTCAAGCTAACTAGTTACTATTACCGTATTTTCTCTAATAGTAGTGCACCCCGGCGAGCCGAGTTGGTGACTATTTTACGGTTTCCAAGTTTTCACAGAAGCTCAACACTCTAATCCCCTACTAGATCTCATCGTCAGCTACATTTTCCGACCCCACATCGATAGGTTCTGATAAGCGATTCTCGAGATTTCGAGCAATTTAGGCGAGGCTGTGGGTGCACTAATATTAGAGAAAATACGGTATTTAATCTAACTCTAGAATTTACGTACATTTGTACTTCTATAACAAGTGCTTACAAGTGCTTACAGCTATTTCAATCCATAGCTATTTCGAAATAGCTTTTACAATTGCCAAGCTTTTGAGAGCAATATTTTAGTATGTATTGTGAAAACTTTAAGCAGAAACAAGTTCTCTTAAGGTACAAATCCTTTTAAACATTAAACTTAGCAAGTGCACTTCTCTGCAATCTCTCCCCTTTCACAATCAAATCCATTTTCAGATGCGTGGAGGTGCCGGTCCCTCCCCTTTCGCTTTCTGTCCTCCGGGCGCCTTTCCGGGATTCCCCGCAACTCCTTCTCTCAACCCGGCCACTCTCTCCTCGTCGGCCCTACCGTATCCCCAGCCTCCATTCGCGCCACTTCACTTCCCATCACATCTACAGTTTCCTCCGGGCACTCTCCCGGCTTTCGCTCAAGTCTCCGCCAATCAACAATCAACATCAACGTCTTCTACTTCCTCTTCGCCGAGTTCATCAACGACTCCAGCAATGGTTGGACGACGATCGAGAGAGGATCGGTGAGTGATTGTTGGACAGTTGATACGCTTCACTTCTGCATCACAAGTCACATCTGCATTTGCCATTGGCTATCTAACTTTGAACTCAAATTTCTTAGTGTTGGGCCGTTCAATTTAAATATTCTTTATATCATTAGATGTGCCAAGTCTTTCTCTATCGATTGATATAAAAACTATTTCAATTAGACAGCCGAACACCAAGAAATTTGAGCTCAAAGTTGGATTGCCAATGGCAAAGCGGCGGGACGCGTATAAAAGGTCCGTCGCCCCGCCCCTTCTGCCATTGGCAATCCAACTTTGAGCTCAAATTTCTTGGTGTTCGGCTGTCTAATTTCAATAGTTTTTATACCAATCGATAGAGAAAGACTTGGCGCATCTAATGGTACCAAGACTATTTCAATTAGACAGCCGAATACTAAGATATTTGAGCTCAAAGTTAGATAGCCAATGGCAAAAGAGGCAGTCAAATGTCCGATGTGGCTTTACTGTACAATTTAGAGAAAAAGCTTATAACAAATTCAACGAGATTTCTTAGTGTTTGAGATAGTTATCAGCCAGCGATAAGGCTCAAGCTTCGAAAATTTGCATAAGTTAGCAGATCTCACGAATTCAATACACAGAAATCTTCCAAACTTTGAAAAAAAGACATTTTGAATCTCCGGCTCTCAAATTTCTATATTTTCAATTTTCAAATAGATTTCCTTCCAAGAATTTGTCTAAATCGATTTTGTCTAGGGCCTTTCCTTTTACCGGAAACTCTTTAAAGAACCGGAAATGTAGAAATCTTATGATTTTGTGACGACTTTTACAGGGAAAAATAAAAGGCGTTTTATCTAAACATTAGAGAAAAGGATTTTGCATGAAAAGTTTAGCTAAGCGTAGTTGAAGATTAGAAGTAAAGCTTGGTTACGCTTAGCTTAGCTTAAGCACACGGCTGTCAACATTTTCTGGCCAAGATAATTGAAAGCCAAGATAATTTCGAAAAGATTATCAAAAGGTTTAAGTTTGTGAGGGTGGTGTGTGTTTGTTTGAGATTGACTAATCGCTTAGATTAGCGTCAAATCGTAAGTCTGCTTGGGGGAGATCAGTGAATTCGAAGGATTATCCCTTAAATGGGAGAATTCGGCTCTCTCGATAGTCCAAACCCTATTTTGAGAGGATTTCACTCTCTTAATATTGACAAACGGATGGGAATGGTGGCAGTATTGATCTATTCAATATAGTTTAAAAGTTCCACTATTTTCTATGATATTCTTCGATGAACTGAAATCAAATTCCATTTTTGAGCTTTGGCCAACTTTAGAGAGGTGAGAAAACTCTTGGCGGACTTTGTAGAACTTAAGAACTACTTTAAAAGTAAACCAAACTCAGGGGTAAGAATAATCACTACCAAAAAGATAACGTTGATAGTATTGGCACCGATCCCTGTGTCCAAAAATTGGCTTGTCGCTGAAAATGCGTGTCTTAATATTGAAAAACGGATGGGAATGGTGGCAATATTGATCTATTCAATTGAGTCTCTTTTTAGCAGCTTCTAGAATTGGTTTGTTTTGGTTTGAAAGTAAGTCAGTAGTTCCCTGCAATTTAAAAACTATTTAAAGTCTATTAAACTCTAAATCAACAACATCTGAAATCTCAGAAACATACTTGTTATCATTACTTGAAAAATCACTACTGAACATTTGCCTCTTATTTGTGAATGAAGCAAGTTTCAATGCAGCACGATAGCCAAACCAAAGCCAAACCAAACCAAGATAAACTCCATATTTTATCTCTAGCAAGATTCCAAAATAATTTCTGTTCTTTATAGTTTAAAAGTTCCACCATTTTCTATGATATTCTTCATTGAACTGAAAAAATTCAGTTTTTGAGCTTTGGCCAACTTTAGAGAGATCAGTTTTGGTTTTAGAATTGTTCTACAAAGTCCGCCAAGAGTTTTCTCTAAAGTCTCTAAAGAGTTTTCTCTCGGCGGACTTTGTAGAACAATTCTAAAACCAAAACTGAAGTCTAGACTTGCGGTAAAACTTAAGAAACACTTTAAAAATCCACTAAAACTCAGGGGTAAGAATAATCAGTACGAAAAAGATAACGTTGATAGTATTGGCATCGATCCTTGTGTCCAAAAACTGGCTTGTCGCTGAAATACATAAGCTTGTGCGTCTCTAATTCATATCAATCCAAATCAAAGTCAAAAACTAAGAAAACCATTGGGTTATTTCACACTTAACACAATTCTAAATCAACTTAAATACATATTTTCTAGAAATGCAATCAATCGCGGTCGTCGTGAACGCACATCGTTCAATCGAATGCAATTGGAACAACTTGAGGCGGTCTTCAAACAAACACAATATCCCGATCTCTATCGGAGAGAAGAACTCGCTCGATTGATCCAGCTGCCTGAAGGCAGAGTACAGGTAATTGCATGGCATGATTTATAAAAGTTTGCTGTGTCTTTCCACATTCAAATTTCTACTTTTAGGTTGTTCAGGTGTGGTTCAAGAATCGTCGAGCGAAAGATCGACAAGCGAAAAAGAATGGAGAACGATTTCATGGAAGGACCCCATCTGGGTGAGTTGAATCGAGAATCTGTTGAAGATTCAATATTAACAAGGACAGCCAGCCAGCTTAACAAGAGCTTTAACAAGGGCAGCCAGCTTAACAAGAGCTTTAACAAGAGCTAAAGTCTTTTAAATCAAACTGTTTTCTAGTAATTTTAATGAAAATCTAGACGATATCTATTCTAGAAGTGATTTGACCATTGTATTTGCTTTCGTTAGTTGCTTTCGTTAGTTGCCTTCGACCAACTTGCTTTCGTTGGTACTTTTCTAAGCCATGTAGGAATCATCTAGCTTCAAGAGTTCTCTTATCCCAAAATTTCTCGACTCTATTATTTAATTGAAGTTCATCGAGTGCCGAAACGCCTCCACCCGAGCCACCCAAAGCAATCTCGTCAATTCCGCCTCTTATCGACTACAAGCCAATGACAATCCCGTTGCCTGGAACTGCTGAATTTGATATGAGGTGAGAAATTTTAATAATTTAACTGAAATCATCGGGAATTAAACGCACTTTCCCTACTTTCTTTTTACTTTCTTTTTAATTTCCTTATGGATGGAAGATTGAGTCATCGCTTTTTCTGCAAAGAAAGGCCGGGAATTGAAAAAGATTTTTGAGGAAAAGGGGAATAGGAGATGTTTGATTTTTAATGTAAAATGTTTAATGTTCAAATGTTTAATATAAAAGCTTTAATATAAAAGCTTTAATATAAAAGCTTTAATATAATATCTTTAATATAATATCTTTAATATAATATCTTTAATGTAAAAGATGTGAGTGACTATTTAAAAATAAAGCTAGATGTAATGTAATACTCTAATAGAACGCCATAACGACGAGCGTACAATCACGTAGTCTAACTTTGAACGTCCCGTTCTTCGCGCTGCTTTAAGCTACAGTGTTGGCTTGGGTGTCAAATGATTCAAGATTCCCTAATTACCGTAAATACTGTAATAGAACGGGACGTTTAAAGTTAGACTACGTGATTGTACGCTCGTCGTTATGGGGATCTATTAGAGTCTCTAATAGATCGGAACGCTCTAATAGATTTACGGTGAATCATTTGTTTCATTGATTTGTTGATCTTGCAATTTCATTGATTTGTTGATCTATTTTCTCTTTTAATTGATCAAATTCAAAATCAAAATGATTTAATCAAATCAAAAGGATCAAATCAAATCAAATTCAAATCAAATTCAAATCAAATTCAAATCAATTCAAATTCAAATCAGATCAATTCAAATTCAACTCAATTATCGCTTCTCAATTCCAATTCCTCCTCAATTCCAATTCCAAATTCAATTCCAAATTTTCTTCAAATACTTACTACAAAAAAACATCATTTTTTCACCAAAAACCCATCCGATTTTCTTTCTTTTCTAATGATCTTTCCAATTAGCAAATTTTCCAAAGACTTGTGACACTCAGGAGAAGATTTTCTCGTTGAATACCCACGATGAATAGCTCTATTATTCGAAAGACAAAAGTCCGTATTTCCATTCAAAACTGTACCTCGTAAATCCTCAAAGATATAGAGAAATTTGTAAAAGAAGCCTAACATTTGGGGATACGGACCAACTTTTGATTTTGGCTTCCGATTTCTTTCTTTTTTATTAATAAGGGTCACACGGTAAGCCCATTTTAGACGTGAATCCATAGAAAAAAATCCATAGAAAAGGAAACGAAAGATCTAAAAGGAAAAAAAAATCTGCTGACATAGGATCAAATACGACGTAATCAAAGAGCACAATGTTTATGAGCTGAGAAATCGTTTCCGATAGAATTTTTTTGTCGGAGTTGGGTATTTGCTTGAAAAATGAGAATGAGAAAATACGTAGCTACAGCTAATAAGCTACAGATGATACGTAGCTACAGTACTGGACTATGAAATATCATATTTGAAAAACAAAAAAACATTCTTAGAAGTACAAGAAAGTTCACCATTTCTAGCATACTCAGCAACTTACGAAATTCAAAGGTTCCAAGACTAAGCAAAAGTCGAAAGGTAGAGTTTGAAGTTAGCCCAGAGAGTTAGCCCAGTTTCAGTTAGCCCAGTTTGAAGTTAGCCTAGAGAGTTAGTCTAGTTTGAAGTTAGCCCAGAGAGTTAGCCCAGTTTGAAGTTAGCCCAGAGAGTTATATATATATATATATATTTAAATTTATCTATTCTTTAACCTATTGGGATATTACTAAAAAGAAAAATTGATTGGCTTTTCTTTTGAATCAAAAATCATTCGCTAAAATTGATCCTAAGCTTTATTTTCCTCCTTTTCAGCTTTTTTTTGGTTTTTAAAAGATTAGAAAAGACTTTAAAAGACTACTTTTTTTGAGGATAATTCTTAAATTATCGTTGATAGAAAGCTGTTGCTAGAAAGTTGATAGAAAAAGAATTCTGGAAATGTTGACGAATAACATTTAAACAAGTTTCTTATCCATTTATTTTACCCCAACCCAACCCTGTTGTCAGTAGATGAAAAGGGAAAACAGCTTGTTTCAGTCTAATTGAAATTGTTGATGTTGGCAGCTGATTGCTGATCTGCTGCTGATAAAGATCAACGCTTATAAAGATCAACACTGATAATGATCAACGGTGACAGTTTCTCCAACATTCAACAACTCATAAGACACCAAACCTTTTGTTTTCCACCAACCGCAAAGCATAAGTTTCTTTCGATGAAGATCGAGTTTTGAAGTGGTTTTGGGGGTTTACCTAGAGAAAGCCACTGATTTTTGCGCTTCAAATTCTCAAATTGAATCCATGTTTCATCAGATGTTAGAATTCTTCCTCAAAAATCATGAGATTAGCCTTTTTGAAACAGAGTAGTGCTAACGATAACACGAGTTGTTTTGTTGTCTTGAGTCAGTCCTGAGTCTTGAGTCAGTCCTGAGGCTTGAGTCAGTTCATTAGTAACCCATCTTTTGGCAGTGAATTGTTTTTCCTAATTGATGTAAGTGGTTGTCGATTGTTTTTTGGTCCATCCCAAATGTGTCCGCTAACTCATGAGTGGTAAGGGTTGGATTGAGTTCAATGGCATCGGGCTGATAAGCAATCTCTAGAGTTTAACGAAACTATTAGCTTTAGATTAATATGAGGCTTAAGAGCTGTTAGCTTTAGAGCTGTTAGCTTTAGAGCTGTTAGCTTTAGAGCTGTTAGCTTTAAAACATTGCTAGTTTGATGAAGTTACGATAATCGAAATTACAGGAACGAAGCAAAGTATGCAACCCTCGGACTACAGCCTTCTACCGCCTCCACTTTCACAAGGTTTCATTCACAAATCAAACTTTAATTAGATACTAGATTTTTTTTAGTTAATCCAGTTAAAGTCTAACTGTGAATGTTATTAATGATTTTAGTCAAAGCATCAAGTACACAACAATGGAGAAGGTGAAGGAAGAGAACAAGTTCGAGAAGCAGTATTTAGAGGGGAAATACACCGAGCCAGCTGCCACAACGACAGGTAAACTTCAAAGGAAACGTAAAAGTAATTGAGTTTAAAAGCAGTTTAAGTTTTTAAGTTTAATAATATAACTTATATTAAGAATAATTCTATATATAAGTACGAATTAGTTCTTTTTCTACAAGGAATCTCAACTGGATGACCAAATGAAATGAGCCATAGATTATTCGACGCAAAATTCAAGGCTGATTCCGAATCTGTTTTCTGTTTTTGCTATAGAGCAGTCAGTAAAAAGTTATAACCGGATGATCAAATGAAATGAGCCATCAATGAGCCATAAACTAAAGCTTTAAACTGAGGCTTGTCAACTAAAGCTTTAGTTTAAAGTTTTAGTTTAAAGCTTTAGTTTACAAGCCTCAGTATTTCTTTAACTTAGAAAATTGAAAAACAAGGGATTTTCAGACTTCTCCGCTTGGTCTCCTTACGGCGGTCCGACAATCAACTACTCCTTTTACAATCACATTTACACAACAACTCCTCCATATTATTACACGGATCCTTATGCTGGATACAATACTAATCCAGCTCCTTATTAATTCAATACTTTTTCATTCAATTTCTTCCATTCAATTTCTTTCTTAAGCCCTAGTTAGCTGTCCTTTTCTTGCTGACTCTTGCCAATTGTTTAGTTTGATGAATTCAGGAAAATTTTTGAGCTATAAACCCGAAAACTTATAGGAACAAATTTAACGTTTTTTTTGTCTTGTTTCTTTTTGTTTAATGTTTGCTTTTGACTTTTAATCAACTTTGATCTCTTTTTATGTTTGATCTCTTGGTTTTTAACCATTGGATAATGGTTTTTAACCATTATTCATTTCTAGCAGGTTTTTTCATAGTCACATATCGATTTGTATCTTTTTTTTCTACGTATTTGTATCTTTTTGTTGAACAATTTGCATTTCTAACTTATCCCAGCATAGCATTGAGATTTTCTATTGATAAAGAATTTGATTAACAAGAAATCGCTTCAGTTAAGAAGCATTGAGATCTTTAGAGCAACAAAAATAACTAATTAAGCTATTGGAGATGTCAGAAATGTCAGAAAGAGATGCCAAATCAGAAAATCAGAAGTTTAGCGTTTCAAAAGATCACTTGCTAACGAACATTGGCAAACTTTTACATTTAGTTTTGCTATTTTACATGACCTCAATTCAATAAACTCTAGAAACGAATGAAAGAACTTGTTCATTGTGCTTCTAAACATACTCTTTCTGTTGCATAGCCAAAAAACTAGCTATAGAAATCAATAACTGATTTTACAAAGCTAACGTAATGATTTTCAAAAGGTAGAGAAAATTTGACTAGGGAAACCAAAATGAGAAACGGTTTTCCGGTTTTTAAAACAATTGACATAAATGATATGGCTATAATGAGATTTCAAGGTTTTCTTCTAAAAGTTCTAAACTTCTAAACTTCTAAAAATGCGGCTTGCCTACCGTAACCTGTAGCCTAATTGATATTATTAGGTTGGCAAAAAAGAAATGAGCGTCGTGTTTGTTGATTTGTATTTTATTCACAGTAAAAGATTTTTTAAAATAGTTTATTCTATTGGAAAGAGCGTGTTCTTGCGCATCGTTTGATATATAATTTGTCTATGTTTACTTTGTTTTTTTTGCAAGAAAGAGTGTTTAGAAAATGTCGGACCAAAAATTTCGTTTGCGGGCCTGCTTGTGGCATGAATTTAAGCAAGGCAAATCGGCTGCTGAAGCTCATGGCGCTCTATCTCAAGTGTTTGACGAAGATGCTCTATCCGAAAGTCAGTGTAAACGATGGTTCCAGCGCTTCCGAGACGGCGACGAAAGCTTGGAAGACCAAAAACACGGAAGTCGACCTCAAATCATCGACAACGACGCATTGAAGGAAGCCATTGAGTCGGATCCACGCCAAACCACTCGCGACCTGGCAGAACAGTTCGACTTCACTCATGTCACCATTGAGAACCATCTGCATGGCATGGGCAAGACGAATAGATGCGGAAAATGGGTACCGCATAAGCTATCCGACGCAAACAAGGCGACACGCATCGCAATCGCCGGAATTCTCACTCACCGCGCCAAGAACAGTGGGTTTTTCGACTCCATTGTTATGTCGGATGAGAAGTGGATCCAATACGGCAACACAGCAAGAAAGCGGCAGTGGTTGGACCCCGGTGAAGCTCCAAAACCGGACATCCACGGAAAAAAGGTGATGCTTTGTGTTTGGTGGAACAGTAAAGGCCTGGTGTACTTTGAGGTTCTGGATTCGGGTCAAACAGTTACGGCGAACCTCTACCAAGGCCAATTGGACCGCGTGGACCAGGCGCTGCGACGTCAAGGTGTGGATACGGCGTCGACAAAATTCCTTCACGACAACGCTCGGCCGCATGTCGCAAAAATCACCCAGCAGAAAATTGAAGAAATGGGCTGGGAAGTCCTGCCTCATCCGCCATACAGCCCAGACTTGGCGCCTTCCGACTACCATCTGTTCCGATCAATGCACCACTCCTTGGCCGAGAAAAAGTTCAAGAACGGCGACGAGGTCCAAATTTGGGTGTCCAACTTCTTCGAGTCGCAGCCGGTCGAGTTCTTCAAGAAGGGCATCCATTCTCTGCGTGAACGTTGGCGACAAGTCATTGATGCAGATGGAGAATACCTTTTGGATTAATGTATTGTTATCTTGTTTTTATAATAAAATAAACTTTTAACGAAAACGCGCATTTCTTTTTTGCCAACCTAATAGATCTTACAGTAACTCTAATAGTTTTACGGTAGCTTAGAATGGAAACACGATTATATAATGATTTACAGAGTGGCTAATAACAAGTGAAAATCAATTGGATCCTCTGGCCAAATAACAAGAGCCATAAACCATTTGACGCAAAATTTCACGCTGAGCACCATGATGCTTTCCGTTTCTGCTATAGAGCACTCTGTCAAAAGTTGTAAGCGTTTAAAGTTTTAGGCTAAAAATGCGAAAATTTGGAGCCGAATAGAGAGCCGAATTTGAAGCCGTCTTTATAACGGTTCTCTCACGGGTCGCAAACATGGCTTGATGGTCCATTGGATGCTTTTTTCTCATGTTGGTTTCCTTAGTGAAATTTTCTGTGGATAGGACGATTACCTACAAAACGAGCGCCGCATCTTTTGCCCGAGTTCGATTTCTTCTTTGGTAAAACTTTTGTTTTGATGTTTATTACTTGAGTTTTATCTGGCCTACAACTATTTGAAATGTTTGTGAGATTACGGTAAGTGTGTTCATTAGATTGGTTGAATTGGTGTGAATCTGGTGAGTAAAAGTGAGCGAGAGAGACAGGAAAAAACAAATGCTGATCATCGAATGAGAGATTTCTCCTCTCTTTCTCTCTGTTTCCCCATTGCGCAATCTGACAACTCTTTCCCAAATTTGACAAGTTTCTTTCCAAGTAACGTAATATCCGTTTAGATTGCTTCATTTGCTTCATTTTGACACGAGTTTTTGTGAAAAGGGAACTCTGCTATATTTGGTTTTGGTTTTTTAGAATGGCTCAGGAAAAAAGTCGATTTCCGGCTTTAAGAAAAGATCTATACTGAAAAAATGATTTGCGTTAACTTGGAGAAAATTTATTGAACTTTTTGGAGATTGGGAGATTTGGAGCTATTTCTAAACAAGATTTTGAATTCAATTCAATTTCAAAAACATTTCTAAACGTAATTAAGCTGTTGCTATATTTGAATTGCTTAAATTTTGTCTTTTATTAGTCTTTTAATTCTTGATTCCTCATCAATTAGCCAAAATTGGAATAATGAAATGAAAAATGACGATTTTCTTACGGTAATCAATGTCTTTTAAAGCTTTTAATTAGATTAGATTTGATTAGATTTATTAGAATTTATTAGAATTTGTTAGAACTTATTAGAATTTATTAGAATTAATCAAAGGAAATCGCTCTATTCTAGACTGATCAAAATAGGAACCGTATTGGAACCGTATTAGATCAAAATAGGTACCGTGTTGGAACCGTATTGGAACCGTATTAGATCAAGATAGGTACCGTATTGGAACCGTATTGGAACCGTATTGGATATTGTAATGAGAAACACAAGGAATAAAATCGTACACTAGCAGTCAAGTTACAAAGCCTAGATCCTAGAATGACTAGTCTAGATCTAGAACTCAAAACTTTCACCGACTTGCCGTTGGTCAATCGGAAGTGCTCAATCAAAGTGCTCAATCAAAGAAGTCGATTAAATTGAGAGGTCAACCCGTTTAGACCAATCGACATAGTCAAATCGACAAAAAAAAATAGACATCGATCTCCTTTCAACAGCAAAAAGCACCGACTCTGCAGGTAATTAGGCTTGCGCGTGGCGCCTCGCTTTACCAAAATTGCCCCCAGCAGAATGGAGATTGAAAGAAAAGGAGATAAAAGGCGTGGATGAATATGCAAAAGAGATGAGATGTGAATGGAAAAGAGAAAGACAAGAGAAAGAGGATAATGATGGGTCATTACCTATCCACCTATCCACCTATCGAGCATCACATCTATTGGAGAGCCGTTTAGCACCTATTTGTCAAATTTTTCACCTGGATAGGGGCAGATTTTAAAATAATTGACATAAATGATTATGGCTATAATGAGATTTCAAGACTTTCTTCTAAAAGTCTTAAACTTTTAAACTTCTAAAAATGTGGTTTGCCTACCGTAACCTGTAGCCTAATTGATATTAGATCTTACAGTAACCCTAATAGTTTTACTGTAGCTTGGAATGGAAACACGATTATATAAAGATTTACAGAGTGGCTAATAACAAGTGAAAATCAATTGGATCCTCTGGCCAAATAACAAGAGCCATAAACCATTTGACGCAAAATTTCACGCTGAGCACCATGATGCTTTCCGTTTTTGCTATAGAGCACTCTGTCAAAAGTTGTAAGCGTTTAAAGTTTTAGGCTGAAAATGCGAAAATTTGGAGCCGAATAGAGAGCCGGATTTGAAGCCGCTTTATAACGGTTCTCTCATTGATTGGGGGGCCCCGGGGAGCCAGGCCAGGCTGAAAGCGCAAACCCGGTAAGGCTATCCTGGCTTTAGGGGAAGGGAAAGGGAGCAATGAATGAGCCATAGACCATTCGACGCAGAACAAGGCAGATTTCGAATCTGTTTCCTTTTTGCAAGAGAGACTCAGCAAAAGTATAGGTGCAAATGGAAGGAAGATTTGGAGCCGAATAGAGAGCTGGATTTGAAGCCGTCTTTATAACGGTTCTCTCACGGGTATAGTGGCTTGACGGTACAGTGGATAAGATTAGGGAAGTGATCTTTTGAAACGCTAAACTTCTGATCATCATTCGATTTGCATAACATCTCCAATCTCCATAGATTAATTGGTTATTTTTTGTTGCTCAAAAGATCTCAATGCTTTAACTGAAGCGATTACCTTGCCAAATAACATAAGCCATAGACCATTTGACGCAAGAATTTCACGCTGAGCTTTAAAATGATATTCTTAGATTTTTGATGTCTCTCTAAATATAATTTTTCAAGCACAATACTTATTAGCCACTCTGTAGATCTTTATAG